CAGTTGTCAGGTGAGTCTTTCAGGGAGGAGAATTCCACAAGTGGGGTGCTACAACTGAAAAGGCACTCACAACACCAGGGCACCTAACAGGTACATACTTATAATGCACAGCAAGGCAGAGACTTCTGCATGACTAAAGCACAACCTCAAACCATCACATAGCAAACAGGCTCAAGACAGTGAAGAAGTGCTGGATCAGAATGGTTAACCACATCAAAAAAAAGTCTGGAGAGAACAATGACATGCATCCACCTGCCAACTTCTCACAAATGTGTGCCATGTTTACCAGCAATATGATTATCTTATTCTACTGTTTGGCACACTGCCTACCATAACCCACAACAACCTATTACAGCAGCCTTCCCCAACCTGGGGCCTTCCATTGGATGGGAATTAGATTACAATTCCCATCTCCTCCCATGCTAGGGTGGGGGACGTACTGCCTGTGGTTTTCCTGCATGGCTGGCTCAGTTTCCCACAGGCTAACCAAACACTATCAAATTGATCCAGTGACCCTTTCTGGCATTCATGGTAAACTCTTTTGGATCTAGAAAAGTCTTCCCTGGATTATTCCTGCAAGAAGAGTAGGTTTATCTCAAAAACCCATTCAGAGAAGGATGGATGTTTAAACAGAAGCTCAGGGCACCCTGGCTGTGCTCTGTTTTTGCCCAACAGCTAAACTGGACCAATGCAGCCTGGAAGAGGTTAAAACAAAAGCAGCCACAAGTTATTTTGCAGATTTAAAGTGAAACAGGACTGTTATCAGCTTAGTTGTCAAGTAGGAAAATGCATCCCTATTCAGTTAATCACATGGGTCTTATTTTTCTCTCACAAATGAGAACTTAAGAGAGATTAGAGCTGCCTGCTCCTGAGAATAGGGAATGGAGAGGAAGAGTAATGAAAGCAAATGTTACATTCAAAGCCCGCACAATTAAATAAAAAAGAAACTCCTTCTGTCAATTTGAATCTTGGATAAGCAACAGGGCTCTCATTTGTGCAGATAACTTAACATGGGGAAAACCGAATATAATATATTTGATTGGGAAAAATGAGATTATTCATATGGAAAAGCTTCTCTCAACATATATCTACCCCCTGTGTCTGAAGATTTGCTAAGCATTTATTTTGTCTGCCCATTCAGTCAAAATGTACACCCTTGCTATGACAGTGTGGAGAAACCACTAAAATTATGGGCTCCCCTACACTTTTACAGAGCACCAGCATTCTCAGAGTCTAGGTCAGGTGTTGCATCAATATTATGCATTTGCTGGGACCCATTTGTTGGGTTTTGATACAGTTTTATTTATTACCATTGTATCTCACCATTCCCTGAAGTCAGAAAGGCATAAATAGTTCTCCCCCCTCATTTTAGCCTCACAACAAACCTGTGAGCATGAATAGGCAAAGAGAAGGGGAGAGAAAGTAAAACTCGTGGCCGAGTGGACATTTGATATTGCTCAAAGGAGGGGGGGCACACAAGGTTTTCCACCACTCTACAAATGCTGTGGGAAGATGACAGGACAACATGGAAGAAAGGAGAGGTAGAGGAGGGCAAGGGTAGAAGTCGAAACCTTGTGTGCCCCCCCCTCAAAAGCCTTTCAGAAAGTGCTGACAGTGGAGGCTAAATAAATTCCCCTCTTCTGTTCTCCCACAGGCTAAGCTGGATCATTTGGGAAAGTGATATGTGTACGGGAGCCCCTCCATCTCCCCAGCGTCACATACATTAGGCTGAGTCCTTTTACCACCAAAATCCAGAAGGAATAACTATGCAAAGAGTTACATTGGGAACTCTGAGCAACAGACCCTCCCTCTCGTATCCTGAATCCTCAGTTTCAAATGCAGTTTGCTGAATGGCCTGGAACCTGGAATTCCAAAATACAACCCAGAATCTGCCCTGGCCATGCAGAACTGGCTGTGTGGTGCTTGCGACAGTAGCTGCTGTAAAATGCAGATGGCAGTGTTCAATGGAGTGAATATTATTACAACACAAAGCAAGGAGATAGGTCAGTTATAGCAGAGACCACTGTCTGGCCCTAGATGAGACACTTGCCTGGTTTCTCCTTAAAAGACAGAAAGAACGAGAAAGCAGTGGCGTTCTCCCCACAACACTGCCCCCAAAGAGGAGGGGACAAATCTTCCTTTGTCAACCAAGGGAATGCAGAGAGGGGGCAAAGCTTCAGAGATCTTATCTTAGTTTATGTTATCTCCCATCCTAAGCAAACAAAAGCACAGTCTACACATAAAAGGCAAGGGAAGGCAGTGTTGACAAAGAGCAGAGGCAGAACAAGCTTAGTGGGGTCGATGCAGGGCTCAGTCAGACAGGATGTGAAAAATGGCCAGCTTTCTTTCCCATTAGAGTGAGTCTCTGCTTCTGTCCAGCACACCCTTCTCCACATGCATGTGCTTTGGTGGTCTAAGGCACTTAGGAACTAAATAGATCTTTGATTGCATTACAAGCATTTCCTTATTACAGCAGAGGTCTTCAGACAGCTCTGAAAAAAGGGTAATTTTCTAAAAGCAGCTCACCAAGTTACATAAATAAATAGGATTTTAAAAGATGGCACAGCCAGATGTAACCATGTGATTCAATTATCGCTTCACTAATATCTCGGTTTTAGACTGGGCATGACCAGTATCATCAATTAGGAAGTTTAATGCTTGGCAATGACAGTGCTATCAGGTTTGGGGAGTGTGTTCCACCGTACTTATCAAGAATTTTATTTTACCAGTGATAGAAGATGTTCTAAAGTACATTGAGCCAGGTACTCCTATTTAGAATTTTACATATTAACAGATTTCAAAAGTAACCAAGAGTTCAAACAACTTCTTACAAGGGATCCATTCATGCTAAAGACAGAATTGAACAATAGCTGTTTGCCTATAAAAATAAATACTGAGTGTACAGTAATGCACTTCTATTTACATAAACATATTTATATAAACATAAAAAGATAATAGTGTTATTGCCTGCATTACCTTCTTAGCAAATACAGAAAGGTTTATAACCCCAACATTCTTTATCCTACCAACAGTTCCCTTGTGTTTTATTGTTTACATGGAGTTTTGCAGAGATTGTTTGATGTGGATGTTTTGTGATTTAATTACCCAGATCACTGCAGACGGGACTGCAGCCAAGAAATTAAAAGACGCTTGCTCCTGGGGAGGAAAGCTATGGCAAATCTAGACGGCATACTAAAAAGCAGAGACATCACCCTGCTGACAAAAGTGCGTATAGTCAAGGCTATGGTTTTCCCAGTTGCAACGTATGGCTGTGAAAGCTGGACCATAAGGAAGGCTGAGCGCAAAACGATTGAGGCCTTTGAATTGTGGTGCTGGAGGAGACTCCTGCGAGTCCCTTGGACTCCAAGGCGATCAAACTGGTCAGTCCTAGAGGAGATCAACCCTGACTGCTCTTTAGTAGGCCAGATATTGAAGATGAAGCTCAAATACTTTGGCCATCTAATGAGAAGGAAGGACTCCCTGGAGAAGAGTCTAATGCTGGGAACAATAGATGGCAAAAGAAGAAGGGGACGGCAGAGGATGAGGTGGCTAAATGGAGTCACTGAAGCAGTTGGTGTGAGCTTAAGTGGACTCTGGGGGATGGTGGAAGACAGGAAGGCCTGGAGGAATGTTGTCCATGGGGTTGCAATGGGTCGGACATGACTTCGCGACTAACAACAACAACAACAAGTTTGATATGCTTCATTACAATATTGTAACCTTATGTATTATCTGTAATTTGTAACTAGATTGTCCTATTTGTGCTTTGTGTGATTGTGGATGCTATATTTAATTTGAATTCAACAATGTTCCTCTACCTAACTTTTTGGTGTATGGCTCATTGTTTTTCCTGGCCACTCAAGGAAGATGTAAACACACTGAGCTCTTTTTGTATCTGATCAAAACACTCCTTATCAACCGACACTACTGAGAAGCTTGTCTTCTTCTCTGGCTGCTCTTGTGCCACCTCCTCAGAAGCATATTAGATATGGCAGAGAAACCATGATTGTTCTTCACAAGCCTGTCTATTCACAAGCAACAGCAAGAGTTATGTGTGGAAGAAGGGTGCTAAAAGCTCTGTGTCTGCCTTCCCATGTGGTCAGTTGTTTCATGCAGTTTTCATTTCATGAGGGGGGACAACAGGTGCACTGGAGGCAAAGTATGCAAGGTGACAGCAGAACACAGAAGGGCAAAAGAAAAGGGCTGGGATGGTTCAGTTTCTGTCCATGTACATACACATGCTCTGTTGTAAATATCAGAGCCCATCCACCCTCCTGCTGAGAATGGTGCAAAGAAAGGAACATTTCTCCTACTTAGAAGTCAGTCCTACTGAATTCAGTATGGCATAGCCAAAGAAATTGAATCTAGAACTGGAGTCTTCTCAGCACTTCACCTCCAGTGGTGCTCTCTGTGGGAGCGAGCAAGTGCATGAGAAGTATTCCATTTTACTGGGCTATGACAGATGTCTGCCCCATCCAGTCCTACCCAGTAGATGTTCACCTTTGATACAAAAAGGTCTTAGGAAAATAATACTCTGCTCACATGCCAGCTGTGACCATGAGAAACTTGCCTTGTTCCAATTGCCCCTTCCAGTCCAGACTGCGTATTCTGGTGACAACTTTCAGAGGTCTTGGAAAGAGATATTTCCCAATCGGAATGCCTCCCCCCAAAAATGTGTAACTGGAAATATGGGGACCAAACCTGGCTGGACTACTGCTCAGGGACTGGCATTCCCACTAGGCAACTGCCCACAGAAGTACAATCAACCTTGACAAGTGATGCAGTTGTGCCCTGTGGCTACAACTGCAACTGCAAGGAAAGATGCAAAGCCTTCACACAATCCTGAATGCTTTCCCTTGGGGGCTGGGCAGAGTTAGAGGTAAGGATTACTTTTTATTTTTTTAAATTGTTATTTATCTAAATCACCTTGAGGGCAACTCCTTAGTAAAAAAAAGGATAGACATTGAGGATAAATGTAACCAGTAAATAGAAACTATTACCTGTCGCAATGGTTGCACTTGAAGGGCTTTGCTCCCGTGTGCTTCCTGTAGTGCCGTGTGAGCTCATCACTTCGTGCAAAACGCCATGCACACCCTTCCCATGAACACTTGTAAGGCTTCTCACCTGCAGAGGAGATGAAAGTATGCATGTTAGTGCAGAGCAAAACTTGGATCCACGTTCCTCTGTGTCACCAATATTTCTCAAATGTATCTGGCCACTCCAAGTAGCTTAGGGACTGTAGAGATGGGGCCCATTTCTTTTAAAGCACAGCATTTCCAGTTAGAAATCTCAGACTCAGAATGTGAATTATAAGGAGAAAAGGAGGGGTTGGAATGTGGCATGGGAAAATCAAGGTTAATGGGTAAGACTTGTCAGAGGGTTGCTGAGAACAAAACCACCTATGGTGTGGGGAAGACTCTCTAGAACAGGGAGAGAAGGGGTGTGAATTCATGAATGGGCTAATTAAGTAATGTCCAGCATTCCCACAGTCTGGCCCCCAAGCAATGCGAAATTTCATGCAGGTGGAGCCAAAACTTTTGGGAGAGGAAGGGAAGAGAGGTCTTCAGTTTGGGATCAGCTCTTCACATGGTCAAAAGCTGCTACTTTGATAGATGCTACTTGAGAACAACCTTATGAAACACCCGGTATCACAAAACCACTTCTAGCTCAAATAAAGGACTGTACTTTAAAAGCTTTCTATTTGGATCTGCTGGAAAGAGAATGGGGGAAGGGCATGTGGGCATCAGGGACCATGAGCGGGGGGGGGGGGTTGCTCCCCTAAACCCTTCTGATCCAGCCCTTCTGCAGGAACTGAGGTGATCCATCAATGTGGTTCATGAAAGGCAAAGTGCTCCTATTACGTTACATGTGAGCACAAAAAGCCATGGAGGACTCAAGAGCACAAAGCCCCAGACAGCTGCACCTACTCTGTATTTCTGTTAATAAAGCATAAGTTTCTCATGGCTGCTCATCTTAATCATCTAAACTGATCATCATCTTCATGTGTGCAGAGGTCAGCAACATGTAACACCCAGAAGTCCAGAATTCAGCTGAAGGACTGAGTTTTGTTGTTCTTGTCTATTACTTTCACTAATATAAACAGCATTATGGAAGCTTAGTAAGTATATTCTTACACTTTTACATGGCATGATTTATTCTGCTTGCAGAACTGGCATTTTTGTCACAGAGTGTTATAGTTTGGGAAAGCAAAGTTAGTGTGCACACAGCCTGAGCATACATTTCACCACCAGCTCATATAAATTTCTGAACAAAAGATTCTTAACAGTGAGACAAATTGGTTTATGGCTGGATATTTTCATTTTTAAAACAATTGTTAAAATAAAGCAGAGCTATCTGACATGATAGAGTTTCATTTTCAGGTTCTCACACTGATTTCACACACATAAGACATTATTGTTCACAGGAGGCAATGTGTGCATCAACTGACAGCTTGCATGATTAACTGTGATCACTGCATGCTCAAACTAAATATGTAGTTGTGTGTGCAATCAAGGATAAAATATTTTAAAGTATCATTTAGTGAAAGCCATTATTTCATTGATTCTTTTTATATACTTAAGACCAAATAGTTATTGTCCTCTTTTTTTAAGGAAATACAGCTGTAGAGTGGGAGCTTCCAATGTGGTCTGAGCAGTGGCACTGGGAAAGAAGGTATTTAACACTTTTCCCCTGGTGTGTTCTCTCCCTCCCCCCACACACAAAGTGGAGTTGGGGGAGATACAGCTGGGGCAGGAGATTCTGATTAGGAAAATAGGATGGGGAGCCTGTGGCTCTATTTTATTTTTAAAAAATCAAGGAGACCTAGCTCCTTGAAGGGATGCTGGAGTAATCTGTGGTAGATTCCATCAAGTCTGGATTTCTCTGAATCTGACCTGAGGAATCTGCAGTCTAGCAGCTTTCTTTGATTTTGCAGACTGATTTTTCCATTTTTGAGGGAATTTGTGCTAATTCCCACAAGCACATTAGTGCCAATGTTCACTCACATACATTCACATACTAGTTAATGTGCATTGTTATTAATGTGAATTAGTGGCAGAATGGATTGTGGCTTTAAAAAATCTAATTCCATCAATTGGTGATTGAAAGACACCTGGCAATTCATGAAACACAAATGGAATGGACAGAACAAAATCCATAAACCCTAGCTAGGTACTGGGAAGTCCAACCCAAGCCTTGGTGGGACGCCCCAGTGGTTTCCTCCTGCACACAGGTGCTCAGTGCTTGCCACCTACTGGCTATTTATTATGGGGGCACTGAGTTGAGCTCCAGGCCAGCATGCCACAGTTATGGTCACCCATGCTGTCTTAATGCTACTACTCCCATCTCAACATGCACATGTTGGGCAGGGCTGACATAATCAAGAGGACAGCATGGGTGGGCTCAGGGAATCCATACCACCAATCACTGCTGTCCAATGGAGCGCAGTGCCACTCACCTGAACATGCTGGCACCGCTATTTCACTTACATCAGCCCTGCCTTGATGAGAAGCAGGACTTGCATACTTAAGCTGGTAGCCCTGGGAGGTTGATTCATTTATGTGGGTGCAGAACGCTAATTCTAGCTCTGGCCATTCTGCTCAGCCCAACTGAGCTGCTGCTGCAGCAGTTATGGTGACCATGGTCCCTGTCCAGGGCCCAGGCATTTACTTAACCAACTGTGATTCATGCTGGTGCTAGGCCTAGTTCTGAGGCCCAGTCACAAGTCTCTCCCAAATCTTGTGGTCTGGCCCCAAGATGTATACCTCACTGGCTGTGTTGCATTAGCACCCAATAAAGTGCCACATTCTCCTATACTTTGTGACTGGCAACATGCACTATGTAGATTAACAAAATTACTCTAATTAGAAGAAAAGCAAACATACTCCCCCTCCATCATAGCTGGATAAATCGTAAAAGTGTCATCATTTAAACCAAAAGAAAGAAACCGCTGAGGATTTACAGCAGGACTTCAACATCATTAACGACAGCCTGGACCAGGCTACATAGCATTGTGCAACTACACAATGGGCATTAATAATGCTATCGTATGTTATCAATCCCCTGGTTAGAATCTGTATATACATGCTTCAAGCTACCATGCATAGCAGGTGACACAATGCATTGTCTAAACCTCATGTTATAACTGCATTTGCTAGTCTTTTGGACAGGGACCAAACACCTACAGGGTTTACATCACGAGCAGTAAAACTCTGCTAGTGAAAATGGACAACACAGATCAACAAGACTGGACAGATATGAAAAAGTTACCCACATGGCAGGCCCAGCAGAGTGAACACTGCTTACCACCCACAGTTCTCAAGCAAAATCTTCTCAGCATATCCTGGGGCCTTCCCTCGAAAAATCACTCGCTTTTCCTCACAGATGTTTGGTGAGGTATTTGGCATTTTATTGAAAGACAGATTCCAGATGCAAAGGAAGTAATCATTAGCAACAATGGGTCATCATACAGAGATATAAACAAAGAATTAGCCCTGCACCATCAACTCTGCCTCTATCTACTCAAGCAAGACCTGTGAGACCAGGCAATGTCAGCCTCAGCAAGGGGCTTATTCAGGTCCCCATCTTTTAACATGATAACCCCATCAATGCCTTTCTACTATTTAAATGAGCCAAACTAGTTACCCTTTTGTGGGATAATAAATGGACAAGCCAGCCATTAGACATGACAAAACTCAGAAACTGGCAGGGAAACCCAGGTATTTCTCAACAGGCCTAAAAGCTGCTAAAAGACACACAAGGTGAGTATATAACACATGGGACTGTAGTCAAAGGAAAAAACAGTACCGTGAAACCCAGTCACTGACACCAGTTGGGGCCGGTGGGTGGGTTGTGTGAATGCACAGATGGCCACTCAAAGAACGACAGTTACAGGTGAGCAACCTGCCTTTCTTCGTCATGGCCTCTGTGCATCACACATATGGGTGATTAGCAAGCTTATCACACATGGAGGCGGGACAGTGTCGTCACTGAAGGACTGAAGAGAGGACTGTGCGACCAAAGGAGAAGTCCTGTCTGGCATGAACATCTAGGTGATAATGCTTGGCAAATGTGCAAGGGGTAGTCCAGGTGGCCGCCTTGCAGATATCATGAAGCGGGATGCCAGCAGAGAAGGCAGAGGATGCTGCAACAGCTCTTGCAGAATGGCCTCTGGGCATTACAGGCAACTCTAACTTGGAGAGTTGATAAGCGAGCTCAATAATCTGGACGATCCATTCAGAGAGTCTTTGGGAGCCCTTTGGGGAGCCCTTGTCATGCTCGGAAAACCTGATGAATAGCGCTTAGTGTTCTGAAAAGACTCAGTTCGAGATCGCTAAAAAGCGAGGCAGTGACGAACATCAAGGGAGTGTAATTAACGCTCTACTGGAGTAGACAGTGTAGAGATTGACAAGGAACGGCAAGACAACTTTTGGCAGGAACACCAGATCGGTGCGTAGAACAACTTTCTCCTTGTGAAATTTGAGGTAAGGAGGATCGATACAGAGAGCACAAAGTTCACCAGCTCTCCTAGCCGATCTGATTGCGACAAGGAAAGCTGTCTTCCAAGACAATAGACATAAATCGGTAGTGGCAAGGCTCGAAAGGTTTAGTGAGTGCTTGTAAGACAACGGAAAGGCTCCATGTCGGGATGACCAATCTAACCAGTGGCTGAAGACTCCCTTCCCTGGGATGCCGAGGGTTTTGTCTTTTGTTTTATTGCTTTGTTTTTCTTTCTTTCTTTGTTTTGCTTTTGTTTTGTTTTGTTTTTTGGTGCTGTGCTTTGCTTTGTTTTTTCTCCAATTTAAATTTTATTTTATCCTTGTGTATGTGTGTATGGGTTTTTGTCTGGAAGAACTGGGTGAGTGAGGGGAACTGCAGGACAGACAAGGCGGAGGACCAAGGTAAGGTCTTGAAGGGATCCCAATGGCAGACCAGGAGATGGCCTTGGCGGGAGTCATGGGTGTTGCTGTCCGCTGCGACAGCTGCAACGTTTGCCCTTCTCCCCCAGGAGAGGCAGGGTTACACTTGCCCTCGGTGCAAGCTGGTGACCCTGCTAGAGGAGGAGGTGAGGTGCCTGAGGACCAAGAGAGCTCTCCAGCCCCCCCCCCCCCCGGAGCAGCCCCCCT